CGGTGTTTTTATGGTCTGTTTTTATCATCCATGAACTCGCATCGTTTTGCAAAAATCGTAATATCTTCACTTTTACACAGTATTCTTGTTCTCCTTTTTTTCACTCTTATACTCAAAGATCACTTATCTTTAAAGCGAAAAGATAATTTTTCAATTTCTACACTTTTAGTCAAAAATAAAGAAAATATGGGAAATAATTTACGAGGGAAATTATTTTTAAAGAAAAATAATAATAATTCTAATAATAATAAAAATAATAAAAATCTTAGACTTAATAATTATTTAATTAATAAATAATAGTGAAGGACAATAAAACGAAAACATTCGGACAAATATTTGTCCGAATGTTTTCGTTTTATTCTCCTTCACTATCATTACTATTTCTCGGACGTAAAATATTGAATAATAATAAATAATAATAATAATAATAATAATAATAATAATAATAATAATAATAATAATTATGTAAATTATACGAAAAATAATTTGAGACAGAAAATTATTTTTCCGAAGAAAATAAGAAAATCTTTTGAAGAAAATTAAAAGTATTGAAAAGAAAATTTTGAAAAGACAATTTACAAACACTAAAAGAGGAAGAATTATTTCTATATAAATTATGAGTAATAATTTCTACGAAACTTAATGACAAGAGGCAATAAGAAATACATATACGTAGATCTCATAACTTACGGCTGGAAAGGTTGAATAGTGATAAGGGTTTGTTATTGCTCTTTGGTACAAATTTATTGCCAGAAAGATGAGAAACTCATGATATGAATTCTTAAATATCCATATTATGCGCATTACTTCTTTTTTTTAATGCAATTTTCTCGACATTTTGTTAAAAAAAAGATAATTTTCGAAAAAGAGAAAAAAAAAGATTAAACTACTAAATATTAATAATATACTTATGTACTTTTATGTAAATTTTTTTTGACGTATTCTTTTTTTATTCTTTTATATTAGGTGAACAACGTTTTACACTTAGAGATTTCCACACTAAATGTCAAAAATGTATCAGCGACCGTCGAAGAATATAAGTAAAATCAATAATTCAATTTTATGACTCTTCATATGGATAACTCTCTACAAAGGAAAACATATTTTCTGATTCGATGTCCTGTCTCTTTAAGGAAATTGTATATTTTCGTCTATATTTCTTGAATAGATTTCACCGTATGATTTACAAGCAAAAAAAAAAAAAAAAAAATTTTTGTATAGAAACAGAATCGAATTTCAATTTTTTTTTAAGCAAAATAACTATACGTAAAAATATCTAAGAGAAATTACACAAAATTTTTTACTCTATGCTCGCTCTATGCTTAAAATTCATATTATTGAGTTTACTAATAAATTAACTAAATTTTTGTTTATTTGATTATTATTGGGGTTAATGAATACATAAATAATTCAATCTAATTTTTTTTATTCAATAATTATTGACTTTATTAACAATTTAAACAAAATTTTTTCCTCTTCAATATTTACTGAATTTATTAATAATTTCAATGTTTTCTTTTGGTTTAATAATTATTGAGTTCTTGAATAATTTAAATAAATCTTTTACTCTCTTTAAAAAATACTGAATTGATTAATAATTAAATGTATTTTTTTGTTTGTTTAATAATTATTGGCTTTAGTAATAATTTATAGTAATTTAATCAAATTTTTATTTCTTTGATTTAGTAATTATTGACTTTATATTAATAGTTTAATCAAATTTATTTTCTTTTAGTTTTAAAATTACTAAGTTAATAATTAGTAATTGAATTTTAATTCTTTTCGATATAATAAAAAAAAGAGTTTGTTTAATCTTCAAGAGGGATAATTATTTACACTTTCGGTTGTTTGAATAAAATTTAATTGTTTATTTCAGAGGTAATTTAAATTTTTTTGTTTCTATAAAGTGAAACCGACTCTGCAACAAAAACTATTCACGGAGATTTACTATGTGCGGTTAAAAGACTTTTAAAATGACTGAACAATAAAATTTTCACAATTTGTCTGTATATAAGCGAAAAGATGGATTATATGCGTTTCGAAATAAAAAATTCTTTCATTGTTTTTTTTTTTTTTTTGAAAAAAGTGTATTTTAAAAAAAATTCATTTATTTTTAAAAGAGATGCATTTTTTAAAATATTTAAATGTATTTTTTTCAAAAAAAAGCTTTATTTAAAAGAGATGCATTTTTTATAGCAGACACATTTTTTTAGTATAGTTTTTAAAAAAGTTACACTTTTTTAAAAGATTTTCTAGAAGCAGATTATGAAATATATTTTTAAAAAATCATTCTTTTAAGAAGATGCAGTTTTCGCAAAGTATTTAGAAAAAAAAGTCTTTTCAAAAAAAGCAACTTTTTAAATATGCATTTTTGAAAAAAATAGTAAAAATAATATTTAAAAAAGGCCTAGTCCTTAAGATGCATTTTAAAAAATACATTTTTCTAAAATAAATGCACTTTTTAAATTATTAAAAAGTAGTTTTTAATAAGAGATGCATTTTTTCAAAAAAAAAAAAAAATTTTGAAAATACTTACTGAAACAATATTTTTTAAAAAAAGATGCATTTTTTGAAAAGTTGGATAAAAATCCCACAAAGAATTGAGGGGCTGGATGCTATAATGTGTTACGCGTGAACACACGGCCAGTCAGTTGGGTCATGGAGAGAAAATTTTGAAGTTGTTCAAAATAAATTTAAAATTATTGTTTCTTGTTCAGAATGTCAAGGCGAAACTTTTTTTCTAATAAAATTTTTTTATATAATTTTTTGTTTTTAAGTAAATTGAGAAAAGCGTGATTTTTTAACCTAAAAAATTTTAATGAATTTTTGACTTCAACTCGTGATTACTTCGTTAAATATTAATATTTTTCCACGAAATTTACACACAATATTCTTCAAACTAGTTCAAAAGTGAAACAATATTTAATAATTTTTCAAAAAATTCTATGTCTAAGTAAATAATTATTTAAATAATTTTGCCGGAAAAATGATTATCCTATTTTCAATTGGAAAAGTTGAGTGACGAATTTTCGTTTTCGGAAAACTTCCAGTGACTAAAATGTTCATCAATATGTTAGGAAGTTTTTTGGAAAATTTTTCGTCATTTGATAATAAATTAAAGAAAATAGAGCAATTTTAACAGTGTCGCGCTCTGCTGTAAAATTACGGCGTGGCCGCGCACGTGTGGAATGGCCGCCATTACAAGACCAATGTATACAGTGAGTCAATGTTTACGTTTACAGCAGAGCACGACGCTGTTAAAATTGCTCTATTTTCTTTAATTTACTATCAAATGACGAAAAATTTTCAAAAAAACTTCCTAACATATTGATGAATATTTTTGTCACTGGAAGTTTTCCGAAAACGAAAATTCGTCACTCAACTTTTTCAATTGAAAATAGCTGCATCATTTTTCCGGCACATTTATTTAAATAATTATTTACTTAGACATAGAATTTTTTGAAAAATTACTAAATATTGTTTCACTTTTGAACTAGTTTGAAGAATATTGTGTGTAAATTTCGTGAAAAAATATTAATATTTAACGAAGTAATCACGAGTTGAAGTCAAAAATTCATTAAAATTTCTTAGGTTAGAAAATCACGCTTTTCTCAATTTACTTAAAAACAAACAATTATATAAAAAAATTTTATTAGAAAAAAAGTTTCGCCTTGAAATTCTAAACAAGAAACAATAATTTTAAATTCATTTTGAACAACTTCAAAATTTTCTCTCCATAACCCAACTGACTGGCCGTGTGTTCACGCGTAACACATTATAGCATCCAGCCCCTCAATTCATTGAAGTGCATTTTTCGAAAAAGATGCAGTTTTGGAATATTTGTTTAATGCAAATTTTTTAAATAAAGATAAATTTTTTAAAAATGTTTAAATGTATTTTTTAAAAAAGATGCATTTTTTAAATGCATTTTTAGAAATTACAATGCATTTTAAGAAAAGATGCAATTCTGAAATGCATTTTTAAAAATATATAAAAATGTTTAAAAAGATAGATTTTCTAGAAGAAATTAGAAATGTGCATTTTTTAAATGCATTTTTAGAAAAGGTACATTCTTGAAATGCTATTTTTTAAAAAAAGATGCACTTTTAAAAAAGACGTATTTTTTAAATGCATTTTTTAGAAAAGATGCATTTTTCAAAAAAGGTGCACTGTTGGAAAATTTGTTTGTTTGAAATGAAATTTTTTTAAATAAAGATTAATTTTTTTAAAAGGATGCATTTTTAGAAAAAATACAGTTCTTTAAGTGCATTTTCAAACTTCATTTTTTTTAAAAAAGATGCAATTTGAATAAGGAGCATTTTTAAAAGCAGTTTAAAAAAATGCAATTTTAAAAATATTTAAAACTTTTAAAAAGTTGCATTTTCTAGAAGAAATTAGAAATGTACATTTTTCAAATGCATTTTTAGAAAAGGTAAGAAAAGGAAATGCATTTTTTTAAAAAAAGATACATTTTTTAAAAGTACGCGATAATTGAAATGCATTTTCTAAAAAAGATGCACTTTTATAAAAGACTCGTTTTTGAAATTCATTTTTTTAGAAAAGATGCATTTTTGAAATGGAGTTTTAAAAAAATGCATTCTTAAAAAGATTAAAAATGTTTTAAACAGATGCACATATTTAGAAGAAATGAGAAAGTGCATTTTTCAAATGCATTTTTTAAAATATTTAAAAAATTTTAAGAAGGTGCAAAATTTTTAGAAGAAATTAGAAAGGTACATTTTTTAAATGCATTTTGAGAAATTACAATGCATTTTTTGAAAATGTACATTCTTGAAATGCAGTTTTTTAAAAAAAGATGCACTTTTAAAAAAGACGCATTTTTAGATGTATTTTTTAGAAAAGGTACATTCTTAAAATGCAGTTTTTAAAAAAAAGATGCACTTTTAATAAAGAAGTATTTTTTAAATGAATTTTCAGAAAAGTTGCATTTTTTAATAAAAAAAAAATATATTTTTTTTTAATAATGAATTTTCAAATACCAACAAAAAGTTGAGGAGAAAATACCAAAAATATATTCTTGTCACAGCGAAAAATAAAAGATGATATTCTTTTTGCATGATTAAATAAAGATGTGCGACGACGACGACGCACTATCACAATATCAAATTCAAAAATCTTGAAAATTTCTCTCCTTCAAATTTCCCGAGTATATCTAGCATTTTAGAATATATATAGAGAGAAAAGCTTTTTCCTCAGGATGTTAAAGGCATAGAAGCCCTTTAGGATAAGGAAGAACTCAGAGAAAAGACTTTTTTTTTTGACTCTAAACGTCCAAGACTGCCTGTGAAATTCGTGTCGTTCTTCTTCTTCATCTTCCTTCTCTTTTCCTTCATACTCTTCTTGTTAAAAATACGATCACTTTTTTTTGCATACGTATCTCGTAAGTAGGACATCAGTCTATTCAACGAATGAGAATTCAAAAGACGAACTTGCTGATTAGCAGAGAAGACGAGTAAAAGTATAGGAAAAATTGAAAATCATACTTTCTTTTCTTCAAAAAAAAAAAAAAGTATTATATTGGAAAAAGAAAATTAAAATCCATATTTAGCAAATCTCGTGTATTAATGAAAAATTTATGGAATTCGATTATATAAAATTTTTTTTACAAAAATGTAAATATGTAGTAAATTTATGAATTAGAGGCGGAAAGTGGAAAAAATGTGAAAATCCTTTTGGATTAAATAAATTGAATAAATAGTTTTTTTTCTCAAAGATATATTCCTGGAATGTTTTTACACAATCACTACAAGCACGGTTGAAGTACTCTTCAAATATCCAATTTTTCAGAGAAAACGCACATTTTCGAAAAAAATTCGTTTAATTATTTAATCACAGTTTCCGACGGAAGAAGAATTCGTTTCATTTCATCAACTGCATTGATAATTTATTTTCATTATTTTACACCACAATTGGAAACTAATTTTCTATTTTTATTGAAATTATATTTTAGTCACTTTTTTGTTTTTTTTTAGTCTTATATTTTAGTCACTCTTCGGTTTTTTAGTTTTATATTTTAGTCACTTTTTAGTTTTTTAGTTTTATATTTTAGTCATTTTTTATTCACTTTTTAACATATAAAAGTAATTTTTAAATTATTAACTTTTACATTTTCGATCTTCATTAGTTCATTTAGTTTTATATTTTAGACATTTTTTTAGTTAATTTTGTTTTATATTTTAGTGAGATTTAGTTTATTTAGTTTGTTTAGTTTTTTATTCACTTTTTCTATTTAAAAAATTTATTTTTAAGTTTATTTAGTTTTGTATTTTAGTCACTTTTTATTTTTTTTTGTTTTATATTTCAGTAACTCTCTAAATTTTTTAGTTTTATATTTTAGCCATATTTAGTTTATTTAGTTGTTTATTCACTTTTCAACTTATAAAAGTTATTTTTTAATTTATTTACTTTTATATTCACGTTCATTTAGTTTTATTTTTTACTTTATTTTATTCAGTGTTTTTATTTGAACATTTCAGTCACTTTTTAACTTTATTTATAGTGTATTTAGTTTTTCATTCACTGTTTAACTTAGTATGAAATTTAATTTTCAATTTAATTACTTTTATATTTTAATTCTTCTCTACCTCATTTAGTTTTATATTTTAATTATTTTTTAGTTTTTTCAGATTTTTGTTTTAATTACTTTTTAGTTTTTCCAGATTTATGTTTAAATTATTTTTAAGTTTTTCCAGATTTATGTTTTAATTATTTTTTAGTTTACTCCGTTTTATATTTTAGTGATTCTTTTAGTTTTTGTATTTTAATATTTCAGTTATTTTTTACTTTACTCAGTTTTTTTTTAAATTTGTCCATTTTTTCTTGCATTATAAAAGATTTTCCGAAAAAAACAATTCTACTTTTTTTACTATAAAAAAATTTGCATTTAATACTTTTGCGTTTATTGCACGAAGTTCCGATTTTCCGATACTAGAAACGCGGTGCTGATCTATGGTAAGCCTAGAAGTCAGCGTTGCACTTTGGTGGTGGGGGGCACTGCACCTCTTCTTAAAGCTTCGCGGTTTTTTTCAAAAGCATCATGTGACCCCCACTCACAAAGTTCCGTTTCCTCTCTCTTCATTCTTCCCCACTACTGCATACTTTGCCATTACACGCAGGGACGGCTCTATCGACATATTCAAGTCTATTTCGCAAACTGTACTATGCATTATTAATTTCGTTTGCAAAAATTAATATTACACTTTATTTACTAATCAATATAATATAAATTATTTAATATAATTAATGTAATTTACTATTTAAATATTAATAATAATATTAATTAATATCTCAAAAAAATTTGACTGAATTTCCTAATATTTATTAGAAATATTAATTAGTTAATTAATAATATTATTAATATGTATTATTCCTAATTTTATTTCCTAATATTTTGTTTGTAAATTTATTTTTTTATTAATGTTATATTTTTTCTCATATTTTCTGTATTGTTAATTTATACTATTTTTTCTATTTTCTATATTTTCTAATATTTTGTTTATAAATTTATTTTTTGTTAATTTTATCTATTCCTTTATATTTTCTACTAATTATGTTATCCTATTTTATATTTTTTCTTATTTCTATTTTTATGTTATCTATTTATTAATATTTATTTTATTAATTTTATTATTATTTACTTTCTTCAATTTTTTGTTTTTTTAACTTTTTTACGATTATGTATTTTTTCCTAATTTTTTTTATTTATTTCTGTACATAATCTATTTGTTTATTTATATTACATAGTTTTGTATAATATTTATATTTTTTCTACTTTAAATTTCTTTCTATTTTTATTTATTATCCATTTTTTATTTTTTAATTCTCTATTATTATTTTTGTATATTATTTATTTATTTGTATTACCTATTTGTTTATATTTATTAACATCATCTATTTTTATATTCTATTTTCATTTTCTATATTTATTTTTATTGTACCTTACCTATAATTTTTATACTAATTTTTTCTTATATTATCTATTTTTTTTATGTATTTTAAACTTGTTTTACATAATAGGACCACAGAATTGTTAAAAGCGTAATTTAAAACATATTTAATAGAAACCGAATATTTAATGTTTATTATAAATTTTAATTTTTTATATAAATTTGGTTCAATTTTGTAATTTTGTTTAGAAAAACTCAAAATTTAGGAAAATAAATAAAACCTACGCATGAGGGGAATCGAACCCACGGCCCTACGAACTCATAGACTAACACTCTAACCCCTACGCTACGCACGCTTTACTTATAAATTTCTAAATTTAATTACAAAACTAAAATTAAACCCTAAAATTGTATATTATTATTAATTATAAACATTTAATGAAAGAAAAAAATTGAGCATTAATTAAAACTAAAAAAAATTCACTGAAAAACAACCACTAAATAGTAGATATTTTTTATTTACATTTTTTTCTGCTATCTTTAAAGAGAGAGGATTTTAAAAAGAAAAACTATTATGTATACGGGTGCAGCATAAGTTGACACTTCTCTGGATGCAACTCTCTCCCACTTTGAACGCTAATTTTCCTTCTCTACTCATTCCCCTTACTTCATTTCTCCTTCTCTCTCTCCTAAAGCTTTTTTCTCGTTTAATCTCTTCCTTTTCTTTCTCATCATCTCTCTTTTTACGTTCTTTTCTCCGTCTCACTCCTTTTCCTGAGATGTAGTTTCATTCCACTCGTAGACTCACATCGCCAAGCTGAGAGAGAGTTCACTTGCAGCCAAAATTCAGACTAATCCCATAAGAATCTCCCTCTTATTTTTAGGAATATATTTAGAAAAAATTTTAAATTTAAATAATTCTGGCTTATTAAATTTTTCTTTTTTTCTAAATAAGCTCCGAATTATTTTGTTTTGTTAGAAAATTTTTTAAATTTAGTAAATAGACTAATATAAATTTAAATAAATCTGCTTATTATTTTGCAAATAAGCTCTGTTTTATTTTTTTTTTTGTTAGTAAATTTTTATAATTTTCTGAATTATAAATTTGGAAAATTTAAAACTAAATAAAAATTTTCTAATTTAAATTTTTGTTGAAAACACTAAAAAAATTCAATTTTTGGAAAAATGACAAATAATTGCAGAAATTCAATTATTTTCAAAAAAAAAATAAATAAAATTCAACTATGTTCAAAATTTGAAAACAATTCTCGTAAATATCCCAATTAACTTTATAAATAACAAAATTCTTCTCCAAAGTTCAATTATTTTCATAAATGTCAAAAAAATTCTTGTCCTAATTTCAATTATTTTCAAAAATAAAATGCATTTTTCTAATTTGAATGATTTTCAATATCGATTATTTTAATAAAATTTCCCAAAAAGAATTCAATTATTTAAAAAAAATTTTAATGAAATTGTATGCAAACATTTAATTATTTTCATAAATACTGAAAATTTACAGGAATTCAATTATTTTTATAAATAATAAAATTTGTAGAAATTCAATTATTTTCATAAATAATAATTTAAAATTCTAAAAAAAAAAATTATTGAATTAAAAGAACGAAAATAATTTTGATCAAGTTACAGTAACAAATATTCTTATAATATAAAATAATGATTTTATCTCTTGGTCATTTTTAATTATTCGAAAACATGAAGAAATCGATCACTCCGAGTCGATATCTTCATGTTTTATAACAATACTTTTATAAGTTGTTTAATTTAAAAAAGGTTTGAATTTGAATGTTTTGAATGTCTTAATTCCTGTGGAAAATCCTGTTCCAAAAATAAGATTAAAAATAGGAATTGTGCAAACATTTTTCTTCTTTTTCTAAAACAAAATAATAATTTTGTTTAAAAAATTGTAAACAAAATGAAGCACTAGTAAATTTTTTACTTATTGAATTTTATTTGTATAAAAAATATAGTTTTCATGATCGTGAACAGAAATAAACTTTAGAACAATTTTCGCCTGCGCTTTTAATTTTAACTATTCTTGATAAGATATGACAACTTTTTACAACACTTTTTTCAGCTGATTTCTAACTAACGATAAGATAAACTTATCAAATTCACAAGGTTTGTTAGTTTATTAATGTTGCATTCAAAAATTTCAAACGAACGTTAAAGAAGAATTTTTTTTCAACAATTTTGCAACCACTTTTTAATTAAATCAATTTAGTTTAGTCAACCTTTAATTTTTTCATTTCTGAATTCTGACAATTCAATTTTTTTATTAATTAATTTAAAAGTCCACAAAGAGTCGGAAATTTTTTTTTTTTCGATGGAATTAGAAAAATATGGAAAAAATGGAAATGTAACATTTGTTTTTGAATAATTTTTTCTCCTCGGCGAATATGTATAAATGTTTTGAATAATGTAGTTTTGAAATTGAAGGCAATCTTTCCCTGGAGGCATTGGTCCATTGGCCAGGATGTGGTTCCTCTCTCGCTGAAATTGCAGCTCTCACGAACGAAAGCATACGTATATATATAAGAGAGAAAGAAGAAATGAAAAGAGTGAGAGATGTAGCTTCTAGTTGGCCCGACGTTGTTGCGCCGTGGCTGGGCTAAAACCTCACTTTCGCATTGCTAGACTCAATTCATGCCAAGGCTGACTGGGTGCGTTGCCCTCTATTGCCCCTATGCTGCCGTCACTGCAGCATGTGTCCTCTCCTCGTCCGGCGTGTTGCACCCGGCCACGAGGCAAACTGCAATTGCCTTAACCGCTTGCACGCACTGCGTGTGCCCAATTTCAACTCGGTTCAATTTCTTTCTTACCCCACTCCTATATAAACGTTTTTCATCTACTATATTTTTTTCCCCCTCTTTTTTTTTGCCTCTCTTTTTTTTATGTTCACAGACAACGCGCGTATTAAAAGCAAGCAGAATTAGCTTTTAAACCAGTTTTTATTTCATCTAAATCAGTTAAAAAATAAAAATCCCTCCTTCCTGTTCTCTTGTTGGAAAAATAGTGAGGAGACAATAATTTCTTTTTCAAACGATACGATAATAAAAGTCTATTTTTTCTGGAAATTTT